TTATAATAATTACAAAATGATATATAAAATATATATATCTCTGATATATTAGCATATATAATATCTCCTATGCCTTTTATATATTCATTGATCACAATTCATCTTTTATGTATAGCATTTTGAGACGATTTAATTTTAGATCCTATATATATTCCATTCTCTACTGTTGCTTCTCTCCTCCTTTATATAAAATTTGCCCCCTCACTCGCTCTTTTTTTTTTTTTTGCTCTGAAATCAACTTGCTTGCTTTGTACTGTTTATATGCGCGCGTGTGTCTGTCTCTCAATTTCGTGAATCTCCTCTCAGGACTTACACTCTATTTCCACGACGGCTTTCTCCGTGTCTCGCGATTGCGCACGTCTCGGTAACGAGCGCGCCGTAGAGATCGAGGAGGAAAAAGATTGGATTCCCGAGAATTTCGAGAGAAAGAATTTTTTAATACGCGTACATAAACGTTTCGCATTGAGCTGCGCGACGTTCCGACGACGTAAAAATGTTCTTTATGCGAGAGGCTTTTCGGTCACGAAATGTCGAACGAAATGCGAGCTCTCTCTGAAACCGAGAAGAACGCTAATTCCAACAGCGGAACACTCGCATACTTTTTTCGTTCTCCTCGAAACGCGAGTTTTCCAACGCGCTGCGATTAACTTACACGAGTAGTACCAACAATTTCGTCGAGCAAGACCTGGATGCCATTGTCACATTTTATCACAGACACAGTGACAAGTACACTAGCATATAACGCGATGCATGAACGTCATTTAATATTGCATTCTATATTTATGATTCCATCTTTATTACGTTATATTGATGTGTTTATTTGCTATATCTATTTAATAAAAAAAAGCTGATAAGAAGATGACTTTGTCGTGAAAAATTTGATATAAATCCTTTTAAAAACATTTTAAGTGTATCAATAAATTATAGTATCGTTTAAAATCTTTCTGCCATTATACAATCGAGATTTTATTCACGACATTAATCAATAACGGTCCATTCGCTGTATTGCATAGCGAAGCAACGTAGCAATCTCGGATCAAGCCGCGAAAAACAGAAATAGCAGAACGTAGGAATGCAGACGGATCTTAAAAGGGTCGCGATCCCTTCCGACTGTCGACTATGCGTCTCTGAATCTTCGACGGAGAGGGGAAAAAGGAATTTTTCCAGATACTTTCGCGGGAAGAAGACGCCTCTCGTTCTGTTCGACTGCGAGAAGCCCTAGCGATTCTTACCGCCGTAGAGAACGAGAGGAACGATCGTTAAAAGCCGTCGTCATCTTAGCGTCCTCGTCCTCAGGGAGGATTTTCTAGCGTGCTGCGAAAGCTGTGAGATAGTTGAGATGAAATTGCATCAGTTGATTCAATATTATATCAGAGCGGTAAAAGTTTAACGAAAGAGATAGTTTTAAATAATTAATCCTTAAGTTTTATTTAATGTTGTGGAATATTTAAGAAATATTTAAGAAGTAATTCGTTCGACAATCTTAAGATTTGCTTTTCCAACACAGTTGGAAAATTGGTGTGGAATTTAACACATTTTACGTGTCCTCAACGATTTATCAAAACTTTTGTGTCGGTAAATCGTTTAGGACACGTTACATAAAATGATCAATATGTTAGAAAATAACAAATATTATGCGAAAAATTAACACAAAAAATGCAATACATAATTTGTAAGCAATAAGTAATTTGAGGAAGCATATTTCTTCAGTAAAGTTAGTATTTAAATGTTAAATAAGTTTATCCTAAAATTGACGTATTAAAAAATATTATTTGTTCACTTACGTATGAATAAATTGTACTATTTAACATTGAGAAATATTGAATATTAATTTAACACAAAATATTCAAATAATACAATCGTATTATGTTAAATTAATTTGGAGATATATTAAAAATTTGACACAAAAAATTTTACAAGGATCAATTTTAACACAAATATTAGGGAAATATTTTATTATGTCAATATTTGGTTCAGATTTTAATATTCGATTAATTTAAGATTTTTCTTGTTTATTGCGATTGCAATATTGATTAAGCTAATTTAATTAATATTTTCCTAAAAAAAAAAAATCAAGTTGATAAGCTAAAACTAGATATAATTTCAAGATCTTTTAATATGTTTGATAGATATAATTTTGACACAATCTGGTTTAATCGAAGTAGGTAAGATCGGAAGTAGGTAAGATTGAAAATGAAAAGAAATAATAAAGCATCTGAAAGAACGATTAATTGTCGAAATAACAGCAGACACGAGGAATCGTTTAAGCTGACGTTCCGAGACATTGTTTGGCGCGGATACACCCGGTTGGAACGCGTGTCTCCGGACACGCGGGACATAATATACGGGGACAGTTACGGTCCTTGGTCCGACGTATATTATGTCCTGTGTAAGTGCACCGTTCTAGACGTCCATAGCGTTACACCCTATGTGAACGTGCGCGAGGAATTCGTTTCGTGAAAAATGAACCGGTTAGTCCTAAGTTAACCGATGATTCTCTCAACACCTAATCATTACGGTGATTCTCGTTCATTGGGAATTGGGAATTCTATACGAATGTTTGACATTTGAATTTTTTTATACATTTCTCGTATATTTCTAGCAATAAACTGCATTTTAATAAATCCATTACGAATTTACTTTTCTATTGGTTCACTACGTAGGGTATTGCGTCGGTTATAATGCATGGTGCATGTAAATATTTTAAATTGATTTTTAATTTTATACAGGCTTTTTAATTTTATGTCGTTGTAGAAGTAAACAAGGGAATTCTATTCTCTCTTAAAGCGCGCTTTCTTCTAACAGCACATTTTCACTCGGAATTCTCCATCAAGCGAGATTTTATTTTCGCTCTTTTCTGCGCGCACGCAAAGCGAGGCATGGCCGATTTATTCCTTCGTTAGAATCATTCGTACGATAAATAAAATCCGCAGGGAAAGGATGCGCAGTACAGACGAGAAGCGACGAGTTCGCCACGGTTCGTCGCGATCTACGCGATGGTATCACACGCGAATGCGTACGGTGGTTTCACGCCTGTCACGTAGACGACGCGCGACGTTTAAATCGAGCGCAGAAAAACGCGATCCGCTTCGCAGCCTCGGGCCGGCGCGCCGTGTCGGAATTTTTCTCTCGCAATGCCTATTTTTCGTTGACTCCACGTGAAATGACTCATTATCGTCGTCGTCCAAAATAAACTTTTGTGCATTTCAGTTTTCTCCAGGCATATTTTCCATACAGTTGGAAAATTTCTGTTAAATTACACATTTCTGTTAAATAACACATTTCATTTTTCCTAAGAAATCTATTTAAAATTTTATGCTCATTTAACACAAGATGAATACATTAGAAGTAATAAAAACATTATGTAAAAAAATGAACATAAAAAATAATAACACTGACACAATTTGTAAGCGAAAACTCTCGAAGTTTTTTTCTAATAAAATTAACATTTACAATATGTTAAATTTTTACGTATTTTATTTATTCATCTTAGAATTTATTTATTTACGTTTTTTAATATATTATTTTGATATTATTTGTTCTACTTTGTTCTCTTTATAAATGTTATTTTGATACTAAAGAAATGTTGAATAACAATTTAACACGAAATATTCAAATAAGATAATCACACAACATGTTAAATTAACATTTATAACATTCGGATTTTTAACATTCGGATATGTTAAAAATTTAACACAAAATTTAACACAAAAATGTTAACAAGAAGTTAAATGGACCAATTTTAACACAAATACAAAATGTTTTTTAATGTTCATAAAAACATGCTTAGAAGGCCACATTAGTAAAATATGCCATACTATCGTTTAACTTTGCATAACTTGAAATGATACAGCAAAATTAAATATTAAATAACAAAGAACACACTCAAATATACATATATTCGTGTGATAATACATTCAAATTTAAGAATAAGAAAGCATGTGTAATTAAATACTAAAAATGTGTAATAAATGCTGACTATTGTGCATTGGCATATTAAAATCATAGTACAACGGCGAGCTATTAAGCAAATAATTCCATAAGTAATCACTAGAATTTGCCACTTAATAGCGGAGATATTATAAGAGGAGTCATTATATCTACACTGGCCATAATACAACTTCTCCTTATTTTTCCACTTATATTTTATATGAGCTATAAAAAGCTATCGAGGAAATGTCAATCGATGTATCAGTTTAAATTTCCTAAGTTCCATCTGATAGATTAAATAATATCAAATGTGTATCTTTATGACGTTTCGTGCGAAACGATGGAAGTGAATCGGTTTTCTGCTGACAAAAAAGTGGCAGAAAGCGACGAACGAGAGAAACCGCGTTTTCGGTACCAATCACAGGAGTAAAAGTGGGTTCCGCTAATTGCGCCTTCGGCCCTAAATATTTTGACGTACTCGAAATTTGGGCGTTTGCGTGTTACCAGACGCCATGCCAACGAGTTGTGCAAATATTTACGACCGTCTCTCCCTCGCGAATCTCTTCGGGTGCTCCACCGTCGTTACGCGCGTTACGGGGAGGGAGAATCCATTTTTTCCGTATTAAAATAAAATTAAACGAAGCTCCGTGACGAGAGAAGAATGGCCCGCATGAAAAATCACCGTCCACCTCTTCGCGAAGAAAGGATATTACGGATGTTACGCTTCTTCTTGCTGGAATCGTAAATCTTTCCGCGCCGCCGTTGAGTTTCGCCGTGAGATTTTACGAGACACCAACTGGCTGCTCTCTCGTCGAGACCGACAATTTCCTCCGATTTCCCCGTACGTTATTGGACACGATATTTATTTTTGCATCGCCAAACGCGTATAGGGTAGATGCATCAGTGAATAATTGATTGGCTTTTAGCAGAGACGCATACAACTTTGAGACATGCAACATTTATTTTACATTGTTATCCGGTTAACTTTATAATTTATTATAATATTTTATTCATGTATATAACCGTCACCTGGGATATTTATTATTACTTAGACTAACAGAAGTTTTCTCCTACACCGAAAGTCTTTCGCGTTGATAATCTCCCAAGCGACATCGAGACCAACTTTCACGATCGACACATCGCCAATATCCAACGATTTCCCAATAAAACTATACCCGCGCGATATCTCATCCGTGTCAATTAAGAGCTAATTGATTTCGAGTGTAAATCTCTAATGCACAGTAAGGTTTTTCGACGACGTTACCGCTTCGATCGGGATTGCGGTGGTGATGAGGCTGCAAGCAGAGCTTGCAGGCGAAAGCAGTTGTTCCCACTAAATTTACGACGATGAGAGGGCTAACCCTCCTTTCTTACGGTGCTCCTCACTCACGCATTGCTTCGTTTCTTTGTCGTTAATGAGTCCCTATCGTACGGCGCCATATGTTTCCCCTACGATACTGTTTGTTTGTTTTTTTTTTTTTTTTTTTTTTTTAAGGCGAAGAAGGGGCGGAGAGCTTTTATACCGGCTGTATCCCTCTCACTGGGTATTCCGAATCCGCGTGTAAAATGTAACTTAACCGCTTTACTACATGCGTCCGCGACCATGGCCGGATCGCCATTAAATGTCCGATATTTTCGGTTTATGTTATATTCATGCATTGACAATGGACGGATGTACAGTGGAAAATTTTATCGGCGCGCGAAATATAGATAAACAAACAGATATCCGCTGGATATTGGTGATGATGGCAAATCGATCATTGGATTGATGTAAACACACTTATTGTTCGGCGAGAGGGCAGCGAGATTACTCCACAAAAAATTTCATCGGTATACTGTTATAATGTATAAAATTGTCACCATTACACCGTCGTTATTTGCTTGCTGCATTGTCCATTTTTAATTGGCTGTTTTTTTAGGATCTACCTGTTTGTGTTCCTTTTACTGCGCAAGAAAAGATGTTCGATTATCTATTTTTTCAAATATTTTATTGTTATTATTATTATAATTATAAGAAAACAATATTTTCATTATCGATTGAAGTAAATTTTCACGTTTTAAATAAAATTTCACCTTGAAAAATTTATATAAATAGTATATTACGTACCGCAGGTCAGATATGTTGAACAAATTAATCCTGGACTGCAATCATCATCGTTTTTGCAGACGTTGCTGCTTTTTTTCCCATTTTTGACTTCGATGATTTCCCTTCTTCGTCTGTCTGGGAGGTGTAGAGCAACGATTTCTGATTCGCTCTTAAAAAATAAAAAAAAATGTTAATATTATTGCAGGATATCATAAAAGCATATACGGAGAGAATATTTCGTTATTATATTTTACCGCAAAATTCGTTACAAATTCTTCTCTTTGGATAGAAAATAATTTGACAGCCTATTAAATATCAATAATGATAGAAATTTGAAGTATACAAAAACAATTTACATTTTATCAACTACAATATATAATAAAAATTATCAAATAGATTATAATTATTCTAAAACAAAATATTTACACAAATAAATGAAGAGGACCATATATTCGATGAAGACGATTTTATGAATATATTCCATAAAAATCGAGGAAAATTCTCTCCTTGTGTCAAATCCAGAGATGTAATATTAACACAAAACTACGTTGAGTGAATAATAATTTTAGAATTGCAACGAACATGGAGAAGAATGATGTGTGCGAAATCACGTGACGTTTACTCACGGAGTCTTTGCTGGAGTCGTCCAATTCGATCACCCGAATGTCCGGATTCTAAGACGGAACAACCAAGTGAGATTAGCACATAATCACGGTTTGACACTATAGTTTGCACTACGCGTCTGCACGGTAAAATTAAATTGATTCTCCGTACCTTCGCATCCTGACTGATACATGACTTGGCCGAAACGACTGAGAATATTAACGACACGAAGAAAAGAAGTCGGATCATGCTGGGCGATGCGTTTAACAAAATTGCGACGCTTCGTAACGCACGAGCGTTCTTTATACCGAATCCCAAAGCGCTGGTTGCGACATCGTTCCATCAGTGCGTTCTTATCGAAGAGTCGTTAAAGTGCACGGAAAATGGATTGCTAAACGCTTCTCTTAACTCCGACCGGAAATTACACGAACGTGAGTGATTTCCGACGTTGCACCAAATATCCGTGAGATTTACCGCTCATTTTCACGTTTATTTATCTAAATTAGAAAAAAGAGAAGCACGTCATAAAGTACGTCGTGCAATTTCCTTGAGTAAAAACGGGTCTCTGTTATCTTGAGTCTACGTTCTAAAATGTTCCAATCTTATCAACGAAAAATGTTTTAATTAACAGAAACGTTTTCCACTGATAGTTACTCGAAATAACGTTAGCGTTTACTGCAATATTACTGTATAATAGTAATAAAAATATATCTTATCGATTACATTTCGAAACGTTACGATCGTGTTGCTTGTAGGCCAGCGATGTCTACGTATCCTTATTCGATTTTGTAGTATTCCCTTAAGCGATATATATTTTCAGTCTCTCTTCGGGTTCTCGAGAGACAGAGAGGATACTTACTGTGCATTTTCCGCGGAATACCGCGCTACCTTCCGTAAAATAAGAAATACGAGACGCACTCGTTTCCCGATGCTCGAGGAGGTTCAGTCCCACGAGTGTAGTATGCATTTTCGCGTTCTCTTGCGCGGCTGAGTGAAGCAATACGACGGCAACTTTTCATTGAAGATTGACTTTAATGACCGACGAACTCGATGAGTCAGTCGCGAACAAAGAGCGTTACCTTTTATTTTCGTCTCTTCAGATGAAAATGCGCGTGAAAGAAGAGCTGAAGTTACGAACATCAGGATTACAACCTTTAATCAACCACGCGCCATTAACATACTTTGTTAGCAGGGTACGCTGCGGTTGTTGCAGAATAAAAAGAGAGGAACCCCCAATGCAGAAAATTCTGCGAGAGAGTAAAAATTGCATCGGATGTTAAAGTGCCGGCCCTTCCGTGTTCCTTAGATCCGCGTCCGAATGATTATCGCTCGCCCATTAGCACTTTAACTCGTGCCGTTCGCTTATTACGCGAATAATCAAAGATGTTTTCAGCCGTCGGCGAAATGGCCACATTAGGAAATTGCACGCTCGGCATCGCGCATATCGTTATTTTTGCTGCCTCGTTATCTGTCTTTGAGAGAGCTCTTTCATTCGTGTATCGATATATTCACGTATGCTGAATAAATTCGTGTTTGCCTCCACGTATTTGCTTCGGACGTGAGATCATTAATATCTTGTTCTTGTTACGTCATTAATTCAGAAACAGAATATTACAGGAAAAGATTTATTGTTACGTTTTCGTTACGCACAAAACGAGCTTTCTTAACATGCGTAATTAAATTTGAATAATAATAATAAAATTATATTGTAGAATTTAAAAATTATATCACAAATATATATATAGGGAATAAATACTTTGCGGTCAAGCTGGATCTTAAGTGCTTGGGCCTTTATTCTGAAAAAAATTATTTTGATCGTAAGAATGACTTATTAATAAAAAAGTTGGACAAAAAAGTATTTCTGTGAAAAAAAAAACAATGAAGAAAATTAGAAATTCGAAGGAAGCGAAAAGCTACATTGCAAAATTTTTTAAAGGAAATATTACGTTATTTATCAAGTGTGTCCTTTACTATTACACCGTATATGCTCTCGGATGAGTTAATTCTTAACACAACGTACTTAACAGCTAGGGAAGTGCAACTGTTTACATAGCACCGTCACTATTGTTAGCGAAGTTGTCGCGTGAAGGAGTCCAAATTAGACGGGTGGCAGAGTCCTCGACGGTCCGTCGACGTGACCGGAAGTCCTTTGTTCGCCTTTGTTGATTGCCGAACAACGTGGAAACTATTCATTAGCTTAGCAAATAATACTCTACCAAGTACCTAACTTCTAACTAAACACTTGATCATCATCAACAGCACCATATTTCATATCTTTATTATTTCAATTTCACTATAGTCTCATTTGTTTCATCTTTGCGATGATTTATTATTAAAAGGTTAATTATCATTATTTTAACAATTTTATCATAAATGTAAAAGCATAAAAATTAAAAATCGTACAATGCTGCATATTAAAATCGATTCAATTTTTTAATTTGCGCCATTCTGATATTATTACTGAAAAACAAGTATATTTATGACTATAATTGCATGATAAAATAGTTACGATTAGGAACTCCGCTATTATAGTTATTACTGTTATAATATTAGTATTTATTATATTTATAGTTCTATTAAAAAATATTCAGTTGGCACTAAAAATGGCTATAAATTATATAGTTAAATTGTGGTAATAGCAATTTTTTTTTCTTTTTGTATAGAATTCTAAATATGCATAAAAAATAAGTTGTAATCGGATAAACTGTTTAGATCAATCATACATTTGACCACAAAGACTTAAATATAATAATAAAAATATAATAAATATAATAAAAAATATAATAATGATTTTAATATTGTATATGAGAATTCCACTATCTCTTATTATCATAATTCTGTTTCTGGCGATGTGAAGATAAATTCTAAATGAATAAACAATACTAAAACTCGTGAATGTCAATCTACCGATCTACTTTATTTGTATACGAGCGAGGAACGAGATGTTCGACAAAAGAACCTAGCTTATTCGAGTTGCTGACTGCTTCGGGAAAACAAATTGGAAATAGTTCAGAAGAACAAAAGCAAACAGAGCTGCGGGCTTTTCTTGGCGCTCGTTGACTCTGCGGAAAGAAATGCGCGGACCAAATTAGTTGGAACAGTCACAGTCCAGACGACAGGTTGTGAGTGATGAATGAATGCTGTAGTAGGTAATACCTCCGGAAAGGTAATTTTGAACTTTTCCGTGGTAAACGGAAAGTCTAGACACGTTTGTGAGAATAGTATACAAACACAAATCTCATAAACTTCACGATAGAGGATTAACAGTAAGTACTCGGGAGAGAATAGACTACAAGCTTTCTGCTGCTGTGTCACGAATACGTTTAATAATGCTAATTCAAGTAATTACAGCAATAACTAGCGACGTATCTTTTCAACTAGAAGACTGTCCGAAGCGCACGCTACGTATTTATTTTATATAAGATTGTTTGCAATTCTTAACATAATTTTCTGCATTCCTTTTCATCTTTTGACATTTTATTACTTTAAAGATGATCTTTGCAAAACTTTGATTAATTGCCATAATTAAACAAATAAGATAAATGATAAGTGAAACAAAAGCTACAATATTTTCTCATTTTCTTAATCCTAGACATTTAATTTATTAACTTAGACTTTAGATTTTTAAATAAACATTAAAATTATTAATGATTTACATTACTGTAAAAAAAATCTTGAGAATTTTAATTCTGTCTCTTATCAAAGTTCTTTAAAAATCTAGAGGAATGCGATATGTACATTCGCTTTTCGATCAGCTCATTTACAGTTTCTAGAAGCGCTTGCTAATTTTGTTAATCAGAGAAGAATGTCTTTGTGAAAGAATAATAAAAAAGATAAGGCAACGATCTGTTTCGTTGTCGCGTTAAACGGTCGACGTTGCACGCGAATGTAAATGCGAGAAAAATGCAGATTCGTCGGGATCGTTAGTATATTTAGACATGCTTCTAACGCACAACGTTGCCTCATTCTCATTTTTCAATCTTCAATTACCGAGTATATCTCTCAAGAAAATCTAAACGGATCGATAATAATATCAATTCCCAATTTCATGCCTTTCACACTTTTCTTAGATTCCATAGACTTTTGCGGTTGAGTGTATATGTCCAATCTAAATCTAAATCGGTTCATCCGATTACCGCTCGGACAAGCGGATTACTTTTTACGGATATCACATTTTTCACTTTGCGAAAAGCAAAAAATTATTTAACGCCAGTCGCAGATCGTGCTCGAGTATGTGCATGTGCCCACGCACGAGCGAGTGGATACAACACACGGACGTTATATTCTCGAGCGCGGCGTGCTCATGCAGTATTCATTCGAAAGCGTTTAATAACCAATACCGTCGGCGAGCGGAATGTAATATTTTTTTATATACTCGTATATAAAAAAGAGAAGGACAAAAAATCGGATGAAAATCCGATATATCGGCGTGAGGTGCGCGCAGGTTCCATGGACGCGTCACGATTTGTTTTCATAGATTTTCCTCGGACATTATCGCACATCGGGTGAATGCAATCTTTATCCTGTCCCCAATCTGTTCATCGGCGAAATAATTTGAAAATAATGCACTCCAATTTTGATCGTCTCGTTGGAAGATCCGGTAAATGATGATTAATGATAAAATCCGACACGTTTATATTAAACGACTCGACTGATAAAAGATCCTGCGTAATTTATATATATTCGATATCGATATACTTTATATACATGCGGTAGGACATTATTGATATCGATCGCCCGATCATGGAATCTACCCGGATGGGACGTGTGCGTACACGCACGCACGCATGCGGAATCCACGGGAAAGCGGCTTAATTGAAGCGATTATCCCCTCGTTCATAAAGAGATAGCGACCAGCATTTCGTGATGCACTTACGTAACGATTAAGCCGGTGGTGCACATGGCTGAAATGAGGATGAGTGTGTGTTCGAGACATATCGTTATCGATGGAACTAATGCGGGACGGAGATTGGGTCCTGCGGTAGATACGACGTGCCCTCATCATGTTTTAAACGGTATTGACGTGTGGCAGCTTCCTCCCAGCACAGCGTCTCGATTCTTTAATGAACAAATGGCGCTTTGTCTTACGATCGATACGTGTGATTAATAACATGAATTGAAAATCGGCGAAATTCTACGGTAAATCCTGAAACAGAAGTAGTAAGCTTTATGCCGTAACTTATTGGCCAATCACCGTCGAATCTGACAAGAATAATGCGGTTAGTTAATTTCTTACGGTTTAAAGCTTACTATATATT